TCAGGCTTGACTAGGACTCAATGGAGCCATGGGTTCAGATGACAGGGAAGGAGATTCCACCTGAACATCTGGAAGAACTTCCTGATCCTTGGAAGAGTTGTTCAACAGTGTCCGGTGGAGGCTCCTTCCTTCAACCTGGGGGTTGAGACCCCTGGGTTGGTCCCAGGCATTGATGCTTCAGAGGCTCACTTAGAAGGTTGAGAAGAGCCATGAGAACCATGTCTCCATATTAATCAGGCTTGACTAGGACTCAATGGAGCCATGGGTTCAGATGACAGGGAAGGAGATTCCACCTGAACATCTGGAAGAACTTCCTGATCCTTGGAAGAGTTGTTCAACAGTGTCCGGTGGAGGCTCCTTCCTTCAACCTGGGGGTTGAGACCCCTGGGTTGGTCCCAGGCATTGATGCTTCAGAGGCTCACTTAGAAGGTTGAGAAGAGCCATGAGAACCATGTCTCCATATTAATCAGGCTTGACTAGGACTCAATGGAGCCATGGGTTCAGATGACAGGGAAGGAGATTCCACCTGAACATCTGGAAGAACTTCCTGATCCTTGGAAGAGTTGTTCAACAGTGTCCGGTGGAGGATCCTTCCTTCAACCTGGGGGGTCAAGTCCCCTCTGAGACGGAGGGGTCATCAAAGACCATCAGAAAACATATATTTCTGATGGTCTTAGGAACTCCTTTGGCAGAGAAGGTTGAAGATCTCTCCACCTGTCCTTCTCTTCCTTTTTGGAAACAGATGGTGAATCCTCCCACCAAAAGACCTCCTCCACTGTGATTGGCTGGCTTCTCAGTCAAAGGGAGGGCTACTTCTGAGACTCCAGTGGGGAGGGGAGAGTAGGCATGCTCGGCGTATGTGCAGGTGAGGGAGAGCATGTGAGGCTGGAGAGAGGATCGCGCCAGCAAGTCCCTTCAAGGCATGAGGGTTCTGTGTGGGAAGTTTGGCCCAATTCTATTGTTGGTGGGGTTCAGAATGCGCTTTGATTGTAGGTGAACTATAAATCCCAGCAACTACAACTCCCAAATGTCAAGGTCTATTTTCCCCAAACTCCATCAGTGTTCACATCTGGGCATATTGAGTATTTGTGCCAAGTTTGGTCGAGATCCATTATTGTTTGAATCCACAGTGCCCTCTGGATGTAGGTGAACTACAACTCCCAAACTCAAGGTCAATGCCCACCAAACCCTTCCAATATTTTCTATTGGTCATGGGAGTTCTTTATGCGAAGTTTGGTTCAGTCCCATCGTTGGTGGAGTTCAGAATGTTCTTTGAGTGTAGGTGAACTATATATCCAAGCAACTACAACTCCCAAATGTCAAGGTCTATTTCCCCCCAAACTCCATCTGTGTTCATATTTGGACATATTGAGTATTTGTGCCAAGTTTGGTCCAGATCCATCATTGTGTGAATCCACAGTGCCCTCTGGATGTAGGTGAACTATAACTCCCAAACTCAAGGTCAATGCCCACCAAACCCTTCCAGGATTTTCTGTTGGTCATGGGAGTTCTTTGAGCCAAGCTTGGTTCAATTCCATCATTGGTGGAGTTCAGAGTGCTCTTTGATTGTAGGTGAACTATAAATCCCAACAACTACAACTCCCAAATGTCAAGGTCAATGCCCACCAAACCCTTCCAGTATTTTCTGTTGGTCATGGGAGTTCAGAGTGCCAAGTTTGGTTCAATTCCATCATTGGTGGAGTTCAGAGTGCTGTTTGATTGTAGGTGAACTGAGAACCACTGGAGAACCACTGGTATAGACCATCAAGTCATGCACCTTGCCCTGTATTGTCAGGATGCAGATGCCCACGGGAAGAGCAAGAGGATCAGTGCTTCCGTGGCCCTCCTGGAATACAACCTCATCAACCCAGCTCGGGGGGACATCCTCCTGCGTTACGTGGCTTGCACCGAAGATGATGCCCCTTACGTCCTCAACAAGGCGCTCTTCATGGATATGAAAGGAATCAGGTGAGGAGGACCCCTTCCCAAGCCTTCCTGCCATGTTCTCCTTGGGTAGGTGACTCACCAACTCTCCTCTTTGTCCTCCTTCTCGCTGCCATCCTCTCTCCTCCCAGCTTTGCCGCAGCCCTGCAGGACAAGCCCATCCACGTCCCCCGCGTCCAGCTGCACGGAAACATCCAGTTCTGGAACCACGACCGTCTCCCGAAGGAGAGGACGGGCTCGTTCTTGGTCCTGCCGCTGGAGGATGTCCGAAGGAGGGTCTTCGGCGTTCTGGGGCTGGACACCCTCCGGGACAAGAGCGACCAGACTATCTTCGTCCCCCACGAAATCCGTTTCTATCAGGTGCGGGGAATCTGGGAAAGGGATGTCGGAGACGCACTCGTTCCTACAAACATGGTGTGCCACACTTGGTCCAGATCTGTCATCGGTTCGGTTCAGTGCTCCCAGGGTGAGGGGTGGGTCCCCATGCTTTGCCTTGATGCAGGGTGAACTACAACTTCCATCCTGTTGAGTCAGTCCCCCAAACCCCTCCAGTCTGTTCAGTTGCTGATCAATTCCTCTATGTTTGCTGTGTGCCATAGGAAAGGGTTAAGGGAGAGGCAGGGTTCCACACAAGGAACCCTGGGAGAACCCTGGGATGCCTGCCTGTGGTGAAGGAAACACATCAAATCTAGAATGAAATTATCTGTGAAGGAAAATATTGGAAAGTGTTAAGGGAGAGGCAGTGGGCGGGATCATCCAAATCCCACACGAGGAACCCTGGGATGCCTGCCTGTGGTGGAGGAAATACATCAAATCTAGGATGAAATTCTCCATGAATGAATGAAAACATTGGAAAGGGTTAAGGGAGATGCAGTGAGTGGGGTCATGCAAATCCCACACAAGGAACCCTGGGATGCCTGCCTGTGGTGGAGGAAACACATCAAATCCAGGAATGAAATTCTCTGTGAATGAAAGCATTGGAAAGGCTTAAGGGAGAGGCAGTGGGTGGGGTCATGCAAATCCCACAAAAGGAACCCTGGGATGCCTGCCTGTGGTGGAGGAAACACATCAAATCTAGGATGAAATTCTCCGTGAATGAAAGCATTGGAAAGGATTAAGGGAGAGGCAGTGGGTGGGGTCATGCAAATCTCACACAAGGAACCCTGGGATGCCTGCCTGTGGTGGAGGAAATACGATCAAATCTAGGATGAAATTCGTGCCATAGGAAAGGGGAGGAAAGGGTTAGGGGAAAAGCAGTGGGCAGGGTCATGCAAATTCCACACAAGGAACCCTGGTATGCCTGCCTGTGGTGGAAGAAACACAATCTAGGGTAAAATTCTCCATGAATGAAAGCATTGGATAGGGTTAAGGGAGAGGCAGCGTGTGGGGTCATACAAATCCCACACAAGGAACCCTGGGATGCCTGCCTGTGGTGGAGGAAAAGCATCAAATCTAGGATGAAATTCTGCGCGAATGAAAGAATTCCTTGGGTGGTGGACCTTAGTGCTTGGGGAGGACATTGGAAGCGTTTGGACTACGTGTTCATGATGCTCACTCTAACCTGCAATGTCAGTGGAAGGAGTGCCTTTGGAGGCTTCTCAGCACTTGAAACTATAGCTTCTGCCTCCACAAAGAAGCTATAGTTTGTGGAGGCAGAAGGCTGTCTGTGTAAGTGGACACCTTTGCCACAATTCCTCTGTGTTGGCTGTGTGCCATAGGGAAGGGTTAAGAGAGAGAGGTGGTGGGCAGGGTCATGCCAATTCCACACAAGGAACCCTGGGATGCCTGCCTGTGGTGGAGAAAACACGTCAAATCTCCACGAATGAAAGCATTCCTTGGGTGTTGGGCTGTAGTGTTTGGGGAGGACATTGGAAGCATTTAGACTACACATTTTTCCTCTACCAAAGACACCTCCCAGGGTTCCTTTCTCTCTCAATTGCATGACCCCACCCACTGACTCCCTTAATCAACTCATATGGCACACAGCAGCGCAATTGAGAGACAGATGTGGCTGGTGTGACACTAAAATATATATATCTCTTTTCTGACTTACATACAAATTGAATTTGAGATCAAACCTACAGGACCAATCTTGTTCGTAGCTTGGGGACTGCCTCTATTTGCGTGGTTCTTGTGGGACTCGTAACGCAGCCGTCCCTCCCAAACACCTAGAAGGGTTCGTTCTTCCTTCTCAGGGGGCCGCAAACACCTTCAGCACGGCCTACCACCACATCCGCACCCAGGACTGTCTCAAGCAGGTGATCATCGCGGCGGTGGGGTGGATTTCCAACCAGACGACCAGGCTTCAGAGCATCACGACCTACTTCATGGAGCCCGGCGAGAACCGGGTAAGGCTCTCAAGTGTGGTTCGGATTCCAACTCCCATCCTCTTCCACAAGCCAGATTCATTGGTGGGAACGAGCGACGTGTTCGGCATCCTTGATAGCCATCAAATCATAGAAAAGAAGCTTCACGACGCATTATGGTCCTTCCTAGTGTTTGACCAGGCATGGGCAGACTTTGGCCCTCCGGGTGTTTTGGACTTCGACTTCCACAATTCCTAATGGCCTTCTGGCCGTTAGGAATTGTGGGAATCAAAGTCCAAAACACCCCGGGTAAGGCTCTCAAGTGTGGTTCGGATTCCAACTCCCCAAATATAAACCCATCTGTCGTACGCGTGAACCGCTTTGCACCCTGAACCTTCTCTCGCTCTTCTCTCCTCAAGATGCAAGACTACACCCTACGCAAAGTGATGACGTCGGATCTGAGGGAGAAGTCCGAACTCCATCCCTCAGCAGCTCCAGTGCTCAACAGGAAAGATGACTTCTTTAGGTCGGTTCAGGAGAAACGACGTTAAAGGTACGTAAACAAACAATGTCTGAGTATCCGGACACTGAGATCCCTCTGGCCATCTCCCGTTCCAGTGGTTTCCTGTTCAGGTGCGTCGACTGTTCCATGGTGGTCATGGCTTCCACCTG